AAAATAGCTAACATGGTACCTTCGGACCCCGTAACAGTGAAATTTTTTTTATCAATCTCTTGTGGTACGGATGATTGATTGACCGTTTCTAAAATCATGTGAATGTGCACTTTCCCGGAAAATCATAACAATGCTCTAAAAATCGAAGGACTACTGGAATATAATAGCGAAATTCAATTACCTCGGCAGTTTGATTTCGGAAAAGGCAAATAAAAAATGCAAGACTAGCATGTCACTGATTTGCAGTGGATATCGATTAACACAAATCATATAAGCAATTGCAGAAGATGGCAGCAAAATATCAAACCTTAATAAAAATCATTTTCTGTATATTTTTCTTTTTGCTATGCGGGATGGCGAATCCAATAAATCAGACATCATTAGAATCGGTCCGGTCGTTGTTGAGTTATAATGATGTAACTTACCTAACTTTGTTTTATTTATTTAGACTAATACGTGGTTAAAGATTATAAGTAAAATAGGAATAATTATATTAAAATGTGAAAACCCGAACGAATGTATTGCAATGACGAAAATATAATAGCTGTACCAAATTTGGCAACATCTACTATCGAGACTACGTGTGCCCTATTCTTTCGGTTGTCGGAAGAGAGCCGGTAAATCAGGGACCGCGATGACCGGCCGATAGATGCGGCCACGTGTAGGCACGTCTTTAGATGGTACCGATACCATCCATGGGAATCATCGGTCTCAGCACGCGGAACCGGCGAACAGTCCCAACCTCGGCGGTTCTCCGCTTTTTCGCGATGGTTTTTCCTCGTTTTTATTTTTCGGCAGGAATTGGACTTTCTCTTCTCTCGGTGCCGCGATAGAGCGAACGTCACCAAACGTGTGTTGGTGTGCAGGCGAGAATTAAAATTACCGCATCGTATAAATTGATTTTTTGATTATTATCGCCAATATTGACATTATAAACTAAATGGCGTATAGAAAGGAAGAAGATAAACTTAAAATACTAACGTTCGCACTCTCGTGAAATAAACTTCAATTATTTCACGTAAATTAATTATATGCCCAATAATTTAGTAACGGGACTGAATAAAACTCAAATCTCCCTCATGATTTTGTTTTGCAGTGACTGTTTTCATTCGTGATTCATTGACTTTCAGTCGGTTTTTTAAAAAGAGGCATTTCTGCAAGAACACATTTAAATAAAACACTAACGCTGTTGTTTCTCAGCTTCAATCTACTGAAGTGTTGGTTGAGAAGGCAGTGTCCTGTTAGGTTAGGTGTTAACCGCGTGGCAATACGAAGATTGTTCCTAGTTATATCAAGCAAAATCGTTGATTTTTCTCGGATTTCCATTCTAGGTTACGGATTGAGTCTTCCATGTTCTTGAGTTCCACTTTAAGTTGATTTTTGCTGGGAAAGCAGAACGGTCCTGGTCCAATTAGTCGAGTGTTTGCTCCTTTTCTAATTAGATCGTTTGCTTTTTCATTGTCTTCTATCCCTTGGTGAGCGGGCACCCTGAGTAAGAAGACTTTATTTTCTTTGTCTAATTTGTTCAGCTTCTCTAAGCATTCTTTGACCAAGTTCGAATTGATTGTCACTGATTTCATCGCTTTTAATGCTGCTTGACTAGCGGATAAGATAGCTGTATCTTGTTTCCGATAGTTTCTATCTAAGTACGCATCTTTCGATAGCGTACATTTCTGCCTGTTGTGTGTTGGTGTGCTGGGATAGGTACTCATTGGTTTGGATTATTTAGTTTTCGGTCCAAATCATAACCAAATCTCTGTTCCAGCTTTGGTTTTGGAAGCATCAGTATAATACGATATGGTTAGTCCTTAAACTATACAGGGTGTCCCTGAAATAAGTGCAAGTGTTTTAAGGGGTGGTAGATCTCGATAAAAGAAACATATTTTCTCTTTATCGTTTTTCAGATAAGTCCAAAATAACGAAGTTATTTTACTTTGTTGTTTTATCCAAAAAAAAAAATTTTTTTTGCTCAAATTTTTGTAAATTTAATCTACACCTATGTTGCTATACCGGGTGCGTCTCAAAAGTGGCTCACCTCTATATTTTTTTTATTTTTTCAGATAAAACAACAATATTTGGTATGTTAGTATATGACATAAATTGGGAGTGATTGACGTATTCAATTGTTATCGGTCACTTCCGGTTTCACCGGAAATGACTACAACTCTTGATTTTTATTCGATAGAAAATGACACTCTGAATCGAATGACATATCATATGTCAACTAACTATAATAACCTTTTGATAAGCTACTAGATCTTAATTTTCAATACATTTTATTCAAAGTGGACTTTAGTCAAATCATCTTCATATATTTGTACTATTTTTTAATTCAAATATGATATTTATTTCACGGCTAGAGTTTAGTCTACGCAACAAATTTTCGTTTTTTATTAATTATTGTTATTCCCACGCACAAGCTCTCAAGCTTATGTGGGATAATTTTGAAAATATGTTTATAGTTTATTATAATAATTGTATATGTTTATAAATAAATAAATAAAATATATAAATAAATAAATAAATATTTTGTTTATAAAAATATAAGATATATTAATAAAAATTACTTTGATAAAGTATAGATTTACATTTTCATTGAATTTTATTAAGCGTGGACATCTAAAAATTAAAATCTCAAAGATTGCAAAAATGCTGATGTATGAAAATGCGTTAATACTAACTTATCTAATGAATAATGAAAGTCAATGTTCTTTAATTTTAATTCATTTTATAATAATACGTAAAAACTCTAATTTAATACCCTCTAATATTTTTTTACAGAATTTGCAGGAAAATACATTAATTTAGGTTTGCTAAAGTAAAGTCTCTTTTAACAAAGTTAGAAACCTATTATGTAACCGATCACTCAACATCAACATACGTCTGCGTTTTGTCCACTGTTATGTATACTCAATCCTCTTATACGGCTGTGAGATATGGACGATTAAAATGAACACCGCATGAGACGGTTGGAAGCTTTTGAAATGTGAATCTACAGAAGACTCTTGAAAATACCCTGGACAGATCATGTACGCAATGAAGAGGTTCTTGGGAGGATTAACAGGGAAAGGGAATTAATTGCAAATATAAAAAAACGAAAGACAGCATACCTGGGCTATGTCATGCGCAGTAGCAGAGCAAAGCTTCTGAAGTTGATTATACAAGCAAAGGTAGGAGGCAGAAGAGAACTTGGGAGAAGCAAGCACTCTTGGTTAAAAAACTTATGAGACTGGACTGGATTGAACTCACACGAACTGTTTCGAGCTGCACAGGACAGACAGTGTTTCGCCGCGATTGTTGCCAACCTTCATTAGAAGATGGTACTATAAGAAGAAGAAAGTAAAGTCTAAGTATAGGTGCTATTTCCTGGATGTGGTTAGAACGAATTTTTTTAAAACATTTCCGAAGCACACTAAAACTCACGAAACTGGTTATTCATTTCACTTATTCTTGCTTTATTTAAGTATTTTGGTTACTATTAAGAACTTTTTAATAAAATAAACCAAGTAGCAATCAAACTTTGAAATAAACCATAAAAATAAACGATTTTAGTTTAGCGGACAATTGAAAATCATGAAATTAAGGGACAATAAACGGCAATAATATTGTCGGGTGCCAGAGTTGAGTAGTGGGACGTAGACGCTAGTGAGGTACGACCTCCACTGGAAGTTGGCGGATTGCTCATAAATGCTCAATGAACTCTCCCGAATGGGAACGTTTTCTATATTACAATACTGATTCTACCAAAAGCTGATTACTTGTTTTAAACATAATATGATCTTCAGCAATCCTGAATTTTTATTTATAATAGATGGAGCTATGACATACGACGAATTGATATCGACGTATTTAAAAAGTAAATAAACGGGACGTCGCGTCGGTTCCATCCTGAATTTGACACTATAAAAGGCCTCCCTGGCCCAAAAAGGCCGCTCACTGAAAAAACCAATTAGCTTTGTCCCCTCATTCGCCGTTTCCAGCTTTGTTGTTCGGACTAAAATAAAGTTAATAGAAAACAAACGAGCTCAGATAGGATCGGAATTAAATTGTTGCGGTGAGTCCGCCAAACGTGGCCTGCATGTCGAAAAAAAAACGACGGCGATGTACGGAGAGATGAGAAAAAAGAGCGTTGGGAATTACGGCAAGTACGGCCGACAAGAAGCGGCGGATTTGATCTTTACGCAGCTATTAATTACGTAATCTAATTTATTTCCATTTTGGAGAATTAAATCGATTTTACTGAACTGATTACTGACGTCATTTACGTGCGACCGTTATTGGAAGCTTAAGAATCCATTTCACTATTCCGAAAAACATGTGTAAAATTAACAAAAACATGATTGTGAATAAGCAACTGGTAAAATCATAAATTAAATATTTTTAAAGCTGAAATTGGGTTATAAAAGCTGCGTTCGACATTACAAATCGCAGATGAGGGCGGGCAGAGGCCGAGTTAAATCACGTGATTGCGGAGTACTCGGATATGCGATTTTAAAGACAAACGTTTTCGGAGCTGTCAGAGCCTTTCTGTTCAAAAATACGATAAATATAACCTATTTTCTGTATGGTTCGGTGATATAACCTCAATTAAGAAAAAAAAGAGAAAAAGACTTTCCATTTAAATCTGCCTAACATGGATATAAATACAGAACAGGCAATAGGTCTGATGTTAAATTTTGCGAACAGTATATTTTTTGACAGCAGTGATAGTGAAACAGAAGTAGAAAGAGCTCCAAGGGTACAACAATATGCTGAAGAAATTGTGCCACGACTTTCAGATAAAACATTCAAATCTCATTTTAGAATAAACCTTTGTACATTTGAAGACTTACTTGGCAAGTTATATAGCGTTTCTGACTCCACAGTTCATTGTGGAACAGTGCCTGTGCCACTTGATAAGCAACTTACGGTTACAATTTGGTGTTTGGCAAACTTAGAGTGTTTTCGGTGAGTTCTATTCTCAGAGTTACATCAGAGGCAATATGCAACTTTTATTAACCATGGTAAAATTCAAACCTTTTTTTAGATCTGTAGCTGATCGTTTTGGGATCAGTAGGAGTACTTGTTGGAGCATTTTATACAGAGTATGTAATCTACTGCTAAAAAAGTAAATAAGAAATTTAAAATTATTGCTTGGCCAAGTCAAGTAAGGGCAGAAGAAATTGAAAGGGAGTTTAGGGCCATTAATGGATTTCCAGGTAATGTTAATTTAGTTTTCAGTTAATTAGTTATGTTTCATCTAAATGTTTATAGGAATAATTGGAGCAATAGATGGGTCCCACATAAGGATTCTGAAACCAAAAGAAAACCCTAACTCATACTGCAATAGGAAGAGCTACCACTCAGTTTTATTGCAGGGGGTATGCGACAGCAAAAAATTATTCTTGGACGTTTATGCAGGGGAACCTGGGTCTATACATGATATGCGTTTATTTCGAAAGTCAGACCTTAACTCAAGAATAAGAAATGGCTCTGTGATATTTTCAGAAGATCATCATCTTATTGCAGACTTGGCATATAAGTTGTCACATTATTTACTGGTTGGTTTCAAAAATAATGTAGTTTTAACCCCTGCCCAAATTAATTTCAACAACAAACTGTCACAATGCAGAGTAGTGATAGAAAATGCATTTGCTCTTCTAAAGGGCAGGTTTCGTGGTTTAAAGTCTTTAGAAACAACTAGATTGGATCTAATCCCACTAATTATTGTATCAGGAACTGTTCTTCATAATATATGCATATTAAATGGAGATCTACTGGAAGATATTGCAGATTTACAAGATTTGGAAGAAGAGATTTTAATTGAGGAAAATGTTTATGCAGTTGTTGATGATGTAAGAGAAGATTTGCAAGCAGTTCGAAAGAGGAATAATATAATGAATGCTCTACTAATGAATTAAAACATTATAAATAATAAAATTCTATAAGGAAATACCTATTTTATTTTATTAGTATATTTTCCTTTCTTGGTACCTATAATATATTAGTAAAAAACAACAGATACTATTATTTTTAATTTAATTTAACAAAATACAAACATATACATACAAAATGTATAAAAATATAAATACTTATTAAAATGTAAACAAATTATTTTATTCTTGCTTTCTATTGCTTTGTTGGCTCTGTAATATATCAATATATTTTTGAAATAGGTTATTAAAACAATCCTGTTTCATCATTTTTTCTTTATGTCTCCTCCCTATGCTGTTAGACCTGGCCGAAGATTTTCTCTTTTTAACAAAATTAGAATCTTGTACTGTCTCCTCATTTTTATCTTCTTCATTATCAGTAGCACTCTTCTTGAATATCTTTTCTCCTCACTTATTTACTTGCAATCCAAAGCTGCTGCTGCAGCAAGTAGCAACTGGCAGTATTTCTGGTTTCTTGAAGAGAACAGCATGCATTGCATCAAAGAACTCCCGCTTTCTTCTTTGCTTGCCTGAAGTATTATTGTGATCTACAATTTCACGATATATTTTTGTCAGTTCTTTCCATTTGGTTTCACATTGCTGCCAAGTTAAGGTAGTTCCATGTTCTTCGTTAAGTTGGGAAGAAATTTTTGTCCAAATATGTTTTTTTACACAGGTTTGAAACTGTTCATCTCTTTCACTAACTAAATTGATGAAATATAGAGTTAAATCTCTGGTCCACAATCTCTTACATTCTTGTATTGAATTTGTAGAACAACCTGAATCAGTTGGCGAAAGAGGACTTTTTTTATCGAGGAGTTATTAGCTTCTATATCTTCATATTGCAAATTTATAGGTTCGTAGGTATTTTCTACAAATACAAGTATAAAAATAATAGTTAATTTAGATTATTAAATTCGGTATTCTTACCTTTTTTATTGAAAATATATGTTTCATTGTTTATTTTATATATCTCTGTATTTTCATCCAGAATTTCAATCACGGATACTACAGCTTCCTCCATTTTTATCTATGAATCTAAGTTAAGAAAAAAGCGTTTCACCGTGGTATTAAAAACCCGTATAAGTAATTATTTATATGCAGTTATAATGTAAAAACCAAACTTTGGACTGCTATGGATCTGCTTTAAGTCGCGGCCACATATTATTCCCGGCCACTTCCCGGCTTTAGTTCACATTTCAGGTTATATTCTTGCCAAAATTGACCGGATCGACAGACTCAAACAAATTTCCCGCCTTTTTTTCGTTGGAGCTCGATAAGCTCCTTCAAATTATCTGGAGGAGATCGAGCCCGCTCGGAGCGCTCGCAAATGTAATACCGAACGCGGAGCAGATTGAGAGAATCAGAAAGATCTGCAATGTCGAACGAAAAAAGATTGATTAAGCGTTCGAGGAGGTAATAGATTTGTAATGTCGAACGCAGCTAAAGTTAACAAAAGTCGATATATTCGATCTGTCTAAATAAACCAGTCGATAGATGTTACACAGGGAGAGCAAAAATATTACTTTTAATTTTTTTTATTTTGATTTTAATTCCATTTATTATAAAATTGCTCAAATTTTTGTTATTTTAAATTCAATTCTATAACAGGGTGGCGCACCCCATTCACCTCGGTTGATTATACGAAAACGGAAAGATTTTTATGCGTATATGTAGAGAGGCAATGTGCATAATTTAAAATTATTTTGAAATGTGCAGGGTGTGTAAGAGCCATACCAAAGTTATATTTTTTCTTATGGAACACCCGGTATTTTATTTCATTTTTGGATTCTTGGACATAAAATAAGGCATTTATTATAAGGATTTTCCCAAGAAAAAATATTACCTTACCTTATCCTCTACTCATCCTTCGGAGGTGTAGTGTTGCCGGTATCGCATTGAGTGTCAGGCAAAAGTATTAAGTAATAAAAAGATTATACAACGAAATAAAGTACATACTATCCTTTTTATCTTAAACATTTTTATTATAATAATTATTATTAATAACAAAACTACAATTGTTATAGTGAAGACTTGAACCATTGGATGAATTATTACCATAGATTGGAGGTGTTTGAATTAGAAGCATTAGGAGTAGATGACAGTGTATTTTCTTATGATGCTGCTCGCTGAGCTGGAGATAGGGAGTAACAGAATTTATAGAACTATGGCCCGTTATTTGGATGACTTCCTGGAGATTCGCGCCTGAACTGCTAAGACTTTGAAGTAAGCTTTTTTTTTTTTTTTTTTACTGTTGAAGCTCTGTTAGAGTGATTCGTGATTTTTTTATTTTTAGTATCTAGGCCGATGTTGATTGCTCCCATTTTTGTCCAGTTTCTTATAATGTTAATACCTGCTGGACATTTCTTGAACCATGGGGAATTTTTTTTTCCATTTCTGATTGACCGTCAAAAACAATCGATTAGTTTTAATGTTTGTGCCTGTTTTGGACATTAGCTTAAAATATAATCTGGACATAAATCCGGATTCACAAGATTTTTTACAACCCACTTACTTTCGCATGTTCGACTTGCTCCTCCTTGCACCATTTATCAAATATTGGATTGTATTCTAGACGACCAGTACTAGCCCCGTTATTATATTTTTCCTCCTTAAAATATTCCAATAACAAAAAAACCGCTTCATTTCCTCTCCATGCTAGTTCGGATGCAGCTATGTGGAAATATTTCCGTTGAAGCCCATCTGGCGTATTTTCATCCAAACTTAAGGCCATTTTTTCTATTTCCTGCCTCGTCAAAGCTGTGGAACTCTCCTTTCGTGCACCAGGTACTGCCTGCAATTCTTTTCGTTTTGCGTTTCGGGCAAAACGGGCGCTTTGGAAAACCATGTCATTGAATGGATCTATGCGGCGATTATATTTTTGAAAATATAGTTCCTGGAGCATTTTGGCCGTTTTATTCCATAAAAGCTTGACCACACCTTCTTTACTACCTCTTCAAACGGATTTTCGCATATTATACTCCCAGTCTTTTAAAATGTTGCACAAATCCTCGTCTGTTGTCGTTTTCTCAATTTTGAAACTTCGTGCAAGGCAAAACTCAGTAAACTGCTTTCATACATATTTGTCTGAACGCTCGGTATTTCTTGGCTTCATATTTTTAATAGCATCGTCGACTTGAGGCAACAAAATTTTACCAAATCCTTCTTTTACCATTTTGTAATAAGAATTGACGGGATATTTTGTGGAACTGACAGAAATGACTTCTGAATTAATATTTCAAAAAATGACAATTAGAATATGGCCACCAAGCGATAACCATATATTATATCATATTATATCACGATACCTATAAATTTAATCGATAGTTAGTTCTCCAGACGACAATGAAGGCTTTCGGTGGCGTATCGTGTTTCCACGATTTAACACAGAGTTGACACTTCTTTCTAGTTAATTATTTTATGGAGTGATATACGGTTAGATTATTTCCTGAATGACTTAGAAATGAAGCGAATGACTTAGGATGAAGCAAATAACTATAAGAATTTTATTAACTATAAAATTTAACATTTCCGGACAGCATTTTTCCAAAATGACATCTCGTAAGTAATGTTTGTGCTTCTGCTACCTTGGTTACGCATCCATGGTACAAAGAATACAAGGTATGATCGATAGCGGCTCCAATTTCGTTCAGTTCGCGCATACCACCTGTGACGTCACTAGGAAAATAATGAATAAATAAAAAATAAAGAAAGTTGACAGGAGATCTGCATTTTTGAGGTTATGGTTAAGCATTGTTTATTTTAAGACTTTTTAGTTCGTTTAATTTAATAATTACTAAAACCAGCAGTTCCAAAAATATATTTAAAAATAATAATTATCTATTAACATGGATTTGGACGATAGGTAAGAATACTGAATTTATTTCTATATTCGGTATAAAATTGTTTATTAGGTTTTTAGTTTGCGATGTTTATGGTAAATAATTTTCATTTTCATTGCCTCTGAATTCACATGAGGACAGAGTTGAGGATATCTATGGAAAAGTAACCACAAGAGGAATTGTTACATCATTTAAAAAATATTGGGAAGTTTATTGTTTCCCATCGAAAAGTAGAAAATGCCAATGCAGATGAACGTATTGTAATTGTGATAGAAGTAATTCTAAGGGTGAAGTTTATTATAATTAGTGGAAGTAATACCAAGGGTGAAGTTTATTATAATTAGTGACCTCTGCTTCTTTTTATATGTAGAAGTTTCTGGTTTTGAGAATAAATCGGTTGAACGACACCCAAAATTTAAAGGAAGTATTTGCATACCCAGAATATGCCCATCAAGGATTATATAGCTCAAATTTCCTTTAATGGTAGGCAATTATTCAATGCAAATTAACTTTTTAAGTGACTAAAATATTAAATAGTTTACAATATGGTATATCACTAAAAATATATTACTTTTAGGTACAATTAGGGCCCGATACATTTCAAAAAGTAGAATATTATTTTATATTAAATGAGGTATTGTACTAACAATCAATTTATATTAATAACGGAGATTAAAAAATAACAGAATAAATAGATCTTTTTATACTACAAAATAAACTATAGAATACAACAGTATTTAAAAAATAAATAAAAGTGATGTTCCGGCCGAGATTCGAACTCCGGTCTCGCGCTTCCTAGCCCGACTCCTTTGCACTGCTCCACAGTAACTTGCTTAGCGATAATTCAATGACGGTATATAAACAAAAAAAACAGGTTTATAACAATACCTTGACGATTTGAACTGGCGCGCGGAGCGTGCTGACCAATAGCGCCTGTTATCACCTGTGACGTAGCGACCAACCTGCGCAATATCATACCTTGTATTCTTTGTACCATGGGTTACGCATCCCAACAATGCATCGAGGACCGTTTCACATGTCAACATATCAAATTCTGACGTATTTTTCTCCACTTATTTTTTCAAAATAATATCGAATAAGGGGGTGTTATCGATTAAAATCGTTATTAAGTCCAAAAATAACCGC